GATGTCATTGACATTGGAGTTAATCAACTCTGACATACCAATGTCCAGCACATCGACATCTTCCGTCAATGGCTCGCGCCAATAGCGCTTTTGTTGCCTAGCAAAGGTGGGTTCATGACTCTCCAAAGCTTCGCTAGAAACATTGCGCGTGGCGCCTAAGGTCTTAGACCTCCAATCAATCCATGGCTCATGGCGTTCAAGACAAGCCATACCCAGGATGAGATCGTATCTCGAATCCAAATAGAGGACAAGACAGCGTTTAATGCTGTCAAAGTCCAAAAACTTCACACCTAAGTTCAACGGAACTTTAGGCACCGTGACGCGAATACCAGTCGCTAAACGAACGGTGATCAAATCACCTTCATGCGCTTAGAGCGCTTCAGCATATCGCTGACTTCTCCCAAGGGAAAGACGTCGAGCATAATTGCATGATTCTCTAGAGTCGGTTAGAATCGACCAATGCTTCTTAAAGCCTTTAATCTTCGCCTCGGCGACTAACAAGCCAGGCTTGTATCCACGCTCTGTGCTGGTGGGCACATAGCTCGGTGGGGCTAAGACCTGTTTCACTCTACCTCGTAGAGAAGCAACAAACCTCAGTTCTACCCCAGTAGGGCGCCCCGCACCTACTGGGTGTCGACGTTTCCCCGTGCCATACCAGGTTTCTAGTTGTAGCTGTGGTTTCGACCCATAGGAGTCGGTAGTTGCTTACGTAAGGTACAAGTGGGACGCAAGTGTTTAGTGCTTCCGAACATATAACAGCGTTTTACTTCCTGTCGCTGCTCTGCAACATGAAACTCCGCTTCACCTTCATCTTTAGCATTGCTGAGGTCTATCAATTTTGAATTATAGTAAGCCGAGGTGCTCGCAGAGGTTGCCCTCGCAAAGGTTGGGTTGTACCCATTCCAACCAAGTCTGGCCAACTTGAAGTTATGCTCAGCATTTTGAGCGATGCTAACAGCCTCCTCAAAAGTAGAGGGATGGACCCGAAACACCTCGGTCCTGGCAACGTCATTACGAAGACCTTCCATGAAGACAGTCACATAGACTGTCTCAGGGAGAGGATCAGACTGCATAGCAGCCATCAGAGTTCTCAACTCTTGGACATAGTCCGTCAACTCATTCTTATCTTGACGAGTAGCCAAGAAGCATGACCGCATGCGATAAGCCTGGTTAGGCGGCGAGAAAACTCGCAAAAGGTCTAACTTGAGCGAATACCATGTGAGAAATGTTATGTCGACCGACGTGCCGCACGTTAGAGCCCACTCTCTAGATCTTTTATCGAGCTTGGAGATAGCCAGCGAGACCCGCTGGTACTCCAGTGAGATAAGGCCAGAGCTCATGGCCATCTCAATCTCACGGATCCAGAGGGTCAGTTTTTCCCCCTCCTTACCGGAGTAATGTCTAACGTCCACCCTAAGGGGACGGGGCTTAGCCTCTTCATTTGGCATCGCCACGTAGAGTGTTGGCATAGCCGACACTACTTGGTTTTGAACCTGCCCTAGCAAGGCCGTTTCATACTGCATGGAGGCCTCGACTCGTGCATTAAGCACATCGGGACCTTGTGAAGCTAGAAATTCCACATACTCAGAGCCACAACCGCGGTCAGCTACTCAAGCGCGACCTTTTGAGCCTCAGAGAGGGGTGTGGATTGCTCCATCCTCACAGAGAATCAGTCGTTACCGACTCAGGTGTAGATTGACTACGAATGCTATCAAGTGTAGCGGAGCTACACAGCTCCTTAGGCCAGAGGAAGACTAAACGCTCTTACGAGCAACTTTGGTTCTACGAACCCGACTCAAAGAGTCAACAGCTCCGAGAGATAAAGGGTGGTTCAAAGAACCCGACTCAAAGAGTCAACAAGCTCAAAGAGCTTACGGTCCCTGTTCCAGGGTAACCAAACGATTCAAAGAATCAAACGCACTAAGTGCACAAGGAGTAGCTGCCTTAACAAGGCGTTGCTACTTCCTTACGATCGCAAGACGCCTCAGAGAAGCACGTGTCTTTTGTTGATCAAAATGGGAACTGAATTTTATTACTTCTTTTAGCCTGAAAGAACACCGTAGAACAAAGTAAATAACCTACTCACTTATGTACTAAATAAACCTATTAAAAGATCTCGTAATCAATTGTTGACAGACATCAGTCTTCAACAATTGATACTTGTGTTCGAATATTACTTAGAAGGGGATCCCATCCCTTGTGTGTACCACACCTATTGTCGACTACCAGTCGACGTGTAACCCCGTTACAGTTGTGACGCGGGAAGTGCTTCTTTCACAGTGTCTTGATGTGTCAGAGCGTCTCGGCAATACACTTGGCGGATAAGACCGAAGGACTTTTCATTAAAAAAGAATCAATTCCACGAGGATCACCTCGAAATGATAAACATTTGAGAATTTAGTGGCACCGTCGCACCCCTCACCACATCATTGGCCGACGAAACGATCATAGTCGACCTTCGAATCGATGGCAGCACAGCATGTGTCACAAGTAGTACCTACGACAAACTTCGATGCACATTCATTTGCCCGCCTGATGTCCATAATAGGATTGGCGAACTGCGTTGCTTGTACATATCGAGTAATCAATAAAGCACTAGTGGCAGCTTATAAAATATCTTTTTGTCATATCCGAGGATAAGACCTACGATCTAGACAGACGTAGAGAATAAGGAAAGCTACAACGAGCGGTTCTGTCATATACGAGCTCCTTCACTAGAGCTATGGGATCGTCGCATGAACATTTGTACGTTATACCAACAAGCTTACATCTGCTGCTTTCACCGCCTGAATACGTCAAGTCACGAATTAGAAAGGAGCTAAGGATTTCTAAACGAATCATGTGACCAAATGGTGCAATATCATGCATCTGGAATGTTGATGGAGACGCTTTCAGCCATTGTTGTTGTCGCTCATAGCTACTATCGGAATGTAAGGTTACGCACCAAAGATTGACGACGTCACCACACGCAATGTTTGGGATCCGATGGCCATTCGACGTGCTTATCCAATGCATTAGAGACACTTGCATCACACATGTCTTTCTCATCGTCCAAGTGACCGTTTGAAATGTGCGCTGCTCGCATTTTATATAGGAACGGGGTTGTTTCGACGGAAGTCAGTCTCCTTTTCTCGCATTATCTTGATTTTTTAATCATCACTGCAAGTGTCGAAGCCAACAAATGTAGAAAGGAAACATCTGTAGGTAAGTATCACGCTTTAAAATTGTAAGGAATCATGTCATGGTAACATAGTAGCAGTATTGGTCCTTAGCTCTTGATGCTATAGAAGATGGTATTTGTAAGAGTAAATCTCAGAACCAGTACCACAAATGCACAAGTGTCCCAAAACCAGTACCATACTCGACTCAAGTATAAAACATACTAAATAGTGTCAACCACATTATACTCAACTGCAACATGGAATAAGAAACTGCTTGATCGCTGGGGAGAGCGAGACGGTAGTAAGTGAAACAGGCAATGACAGTAAGCGCGGCAGCAAGTAAGTTGAGATACATATGTTTGGCCCTTTCGTGCCCAATGCTAGCAATTTTATATAGCCACCAGCTCGTACCGTGCCTCTTTTGAATCGTCATGTAAGCAGCTGTAGAAGCCTTAGTTTCCGTGTCCGATCAATCTTCCCCTTGAGGACCAGCAAGGATCGTTCGGGGTGAACGATTGGGATAACATTGGTGGTAAGGGCGGCACGCCTAGGCTCCACGGCTTAATGGCCCAGACCCTATTACGGGCTTCGATGCTGGAAAGCGCGGAGTTGTTAAGAGCATATGGGGCCCTATGGGTATATCCACACCCGACAATCTCGCACCTGGTCCAACTGGAGCTGACATGCCTGTGGGCACTGGCCTGCCCAATCTATATAACCAATGTAATTAGGGCATCTACGGGTACAAGGTAAGTATGATACGCATCCACATATTGCCGCTATTGGCGGCCAGGGACGGTACCCTCCCCAGTCTTCCCAACATCCAACCGCAGCAAGAGTACGCTAGCCCGAGCAACTACGACAACTACGATCCCATAAATGATGATGATGCGAATGGCACCGTCGACGAGCGGCAGATGTTTGCTTCGGCTATCTTTGGCGTCATTCCCGGTGCATCGGCCCCAATGCCTGGGGCTCGACCCGTCGGGGCGAAAGCACGCTCCACGATTAGTGCTACCCGTCAAACAAGTTGTACTTCCACGCGTCATACATCGAGCTGAAGCGACCACCCGCAGCAGCAGCAGATTCCTCCAGCCCAAGCCTCCATGGATCAAGCGCCGCCTTCGCAACAACATCTCGCGAAGGTCAAAAGGGATCTGCTCAATGTCTCATTTGGCGCACCCGTATCTCCACAAGGACCAGTTGCGTTCCAGCAGCCACTACCGCCACTAGAGCACCACCAATCGCAGACAATGGCACCGCAAGAGGAGCAACACTTGACGATGTTCGCAGGCCCGTTTGGAATGGGCCCACCGCTTTTACTCGCGCGTGTTCCCGAAGGCATCTCGCCAGCTGCTTCAATCAATCCTTCAACAGCATTATGCCTACCTTAATCAAGGCTGCAAAACAAGACGATTTAATAGAGACACGATGGTAGCTGGTAGCTATTCAGTAAGTAAACACCGGGCGCAAAAGGGCCAAAAGATGTATATTTACTTTACTTGTTGCCTCACTTCCTGCCTCACTTCGTGCCATCGTCTGAGTTACTTGCTTCCACCTCGCCTATCCCTAGCAATCAAGCAGCTTCTTGTCCCATGTTGCAGTCCCGTAAAATGTGGTTGACACTATTTAGCGTGTTTTTTATCCTTGAGTTGAGTATAAAACTGGTCTTAGGACTTTTGTGCATTTGTGGTACTGGTTTTGAGATTTACTCGTTCAAATACCACCATCGATGGGGGTCTCCTCCCTGGTGTAAACCACACTTGTTATGTCTATTATCAACAGACGTGTGACCCCGTTACCAACGCACAATGAGTGAGCAAAAGTATCAAAGAGAAATCAGAGTGATCTATTGCTACGAGGCTTAACTGTCTTGACAAACGGCGATTTCATTCTCTGGAGCTCTTCGAGCGGCCCGTTCATCTCTGCCTCACGCTTGGCTTTCGCATCTTGGGCGGCATGCGGACGAGGCGATTTGTTGATAATAAATCGGGAAGCCGGGTCGAAGAAAGTGGGTGAAGGATGCACGTCCAGGGGGCTGCGGGGGGAAGCGCCTCCTTTGACACTACCCGGGGACGTTGGTTGGTGGCCACTGCGTGATGGAGCGTTTTTATTGGCGCTGTATGGAGGCGTTGCAAAACGGACTCTGCGTGGAGAAGCCGAATCTGGGGAACTGCGGGGAGAAGTGCCCTTTAGGGCACTGCGTGGGGACTCACGCCCACTGCCTGGTGACGCGACTATTTTGGCGCTGTCCATGGCAGTCAGCTTCACGACATTTTCACGAGTTCTCGGCCGGAGGTACGGGTTTTTCACCTTCTTCGACCTGTGCGCGGCTGCAAATTTACGGAAGGTTGTGTACTCGTTCACCAAAGTGTCCACAGTTGAATCCGAATGGCCCCCAGTTTTCTCCGATTGTTTCAGCGCTGTCCGATATGTGCTTGGATTGATGTTGAAACAGTCGAGTGCAGGAAATTGATCATTCTGAATCCGGTATCGATCAATCACTGCCACAGCAGTTTTTGTATCGTCCAAAGGCAGATCCACCACGGGCGCTATTTTCTTGGACTTGAAGGGAAGATACTTCTTCGCACGGCCAGTAAGTCGACCGATGAATCCTGCCAAGCGCTCGGAGCCCCTGTCTGCACGAGGGCCGTCGACGGGGACGGTGGCGGCACGAAGTGCGTTCCCATCGCCGGTCACGTCCGGCGGCGTGGCTTGATTTTCGTCAGGCGATGTCAACTCGGACAGCTTTTCGAATGCTGGAGACGTAGCACCGCCACTGCAAGACGACAGGACGAGCGCGAGGTGGAGGAGAAGGAGCCACTTCGTCATTGCGGCAGATGAGCGCTGGAGTCGGTGGGTGGCGAGATGAAGTTGCTGCAAGTTGCTGGTGTGCTCGGGTCACGGCGAAATGGGAAATGAGGAGGAGGGGGCGAGTCTCGACTCGAAACATTGGGGACGGCTCGTGGCCGGTGCCATCTTGAGACAGAGCTCTTGCAGACGGAGTTGCTGTCGACAACGCCTGACTGCTTCCAGCCGACTCTTTCTCGCACGTTCTGTGTACACGATGCAGGATTCATGGTGTACAGAGCTGGATGTAGATGGACCAGACGACACATCACCATCCGTACGTTGGTACACACAACGTGCTTGAGTGTCGGATGGGTAGATCGACATTCGACATTAGATCTATCGAAGAGGTTTCTCTACGATAGATCTAATGTCGAAAGTCGATCGAATGTGTTTGACAGGTTACCAACTTCGGTAAGTGAATGATTTTTTAGCACTTCGTGTTCTCGAGCGGCGTCGCCGTGTTAAAAGGCAAAAAAAGAGAAGGAGCAAACATATAGCATAGTCTCGGCTGCTCGATGCCAGAGGGCATTTCTGATCTTTGTCCGCGACTTTCTGTGCAAGGGCAAATTATACGTCTAACGGTCACAAATGCTCGAGACATGCCTGTACCGACCCCAGTGGTCGAATGGTAGAGCACTGAAACTGGTACAGGGAGATATTTGGACCGATATGTGGGGGAGGAAAGGTTATAAGCACCAAAGATAGGCCACTACAGTAGACGAGCAAGTACCGAACTGGTAGCCGCCCTGCCAGCCCGCACCTTCGGTGATTGATAGTTAAGTGGACTGGAAACCCTACTGGCCGAAAGTATTCCAGTGTAATGAAGGGTGTTGGTCCTCTTAGGAGTTGAAACATGGCCACTGTACTCGCAGACCACACTCGTGTGATCTGAAGAACTACGCCGCTTAATATCTCAAGACATGCGTGTGCCTGTAAAATTCATGCGAAAACGCCACAAGGAATGTCGTCAGAATAGAGAAGGCCGCTAACAATCAAACTTAGGCGAGAGCATCTTCGTTATTGAGCTCTACGGAAGGCAAGTAGCGGAAGACAATGATGCGAGCGATGTTAATAGGTACACGCAAGTCGTGGCTTCTTGTGTAATCACTTTCGCAATTGCCGAACATGTAAGCCGCATTTACCAGCTATTTAAAATGCTCTTTACCTCATTAGCGTAACTTTCGCATCTCGAGTCCTAGTGTCATGTCTGCGCAGTTCCGAGGACGACGAAAGATTTGTCTATAGCGTCTGCTTGAACGCGTCGTGTTGTCGCTTCGATGGGACGGTTATAAAACACCGCTTCCACGTCATAAGTGCACCATTTCGATCTGTATCCTGAGGTGCGACGCTGAACGATTCGGCACACTCAATCGTTTTTGCTTTAGCAACGGGCACTGATGCTGCTATAAGCTTTCCAAAGCCCTCAAGAGACTATCTTAATTCGATGAACGCATATGCAGAATCTAGCTGCTTGACAATGAGGCACAATATATGGATTTCATAGCCGGCAACTACGAAAATCTCCTACTTCTGGGATCCCCGGTATGTTGTGTCTTAACGCGATGTAGACAATTGGACGCCACTATTGTCACTTGATCCGGAACGAGGACATTGTGCATTGCGGATCGCTTTCGTCGTCACAACGAATGGCGTGTTCGCACACACGCACGCACGCTCCTACTTCTTCGTTTTGAACAGAGCATATCCGCCATATCAAATACCGCAATTGGGCAAACCAGCGGCTACATGCGATGAGAAGGGGGCCCTGTATTGTCACTGCTCAGGCGAAACTGTTGAGACATAACCAAGCGGGTTCTTTGTGCTTGGCACATTGTCAAAGGAAGGGCACGTCAAAGACAGGTCCTCGGGTGACAGCGCGTGTATACATATGTGCAAGAAGGCAAATACAATAAGCCTCGGTGGTTCCGAACAGTGCCACCATTGCTCATACATATAACTGACCTCTGCACATGGATCGAGCTTTAGCCCTGTATGCTCGGCACGCATGCTCACGAGTCCACGAAAGGCTTCGTAAACGCGTGCCGTCGTCCGAAAGAAGTGACGCTCAGTTCGGGCACGTCTTTCTGACGTCGAGGCGCAATCGTCTGCATTTCGACCTGACTTTGCGACGTGTGAGAAAGGGTTCATGTCGGTGGCGTAACCTGTGCACATATATGCACAAGATGTCTGAAAACGTCTGAGCCAGGAATACGCGCCGAGTTCGGTCGACAGACATCGGTAGGACTGAATTTTCAGGTAAACAGGTCTATAGAGACCTGCAATCGAGGGTAAACAGGTCTATAGAGACCTGCAATCGAGGGTAAACAGGTCAGTTGAGACGTGCAATAAAGCCCGTCCGACGACCGAGTCGGGACCTCAACGCTCACGCTTTGTAACGCTGCGGAATGAACACCGATGGCTTCCGAGCAGGTAGGACACTATATGCGGCGCGGGGTCTGCATTCGTCTCAGCGTCGCGTTGCGTCGCGTCGCCCCACTCATCCCGTGATCTCCGGCAGAAAATGTCGTGAGTAGTAATCATGCAGCGACATGAAAAAAGGCAAGTACATGGTCTGCAATCACCTGATGACAGTCGAAGAGCGCGACATCACCTGAAACGCGTACGAGGGACATCGAGGTCGGCAGTCGCTGATTGGACAAGAAGACTCAACAGGTGGCAGTATTCTCCTCAGTAATGGGGCAGTTGCGAGGCCGAAGGAAATGACTCGGAATGGTAGTATGTGCAATTAAAATACATGTCAGCAATGGAATCGATAAATAGCAATAGCGTGATGCAAGCTATTCTATAATCTATAAACGTCGACCGTAATTGCGGGCCGTAATCTATAAATGTCGACAGTATTTGCGGCCGTCAGCGTGAAGCGGTCAGTGAGAATGCGCAAGGAATAGACGAACTTCCCGGTAGCTACTATTTATGTGTCATGTTTGTGTCTGAAGTCACGCTGAAACGCATCATGAACGACACGGAAGTGGTGCGGTCTGCGCCTTCAAAATTCCGTTCAAGTGCGGTGCTACGACGAGGGCTTGCCAGCCTACTAGGCCAGGCTATGCATGATCGTGCCCAATGCGTATATGTCACCAATTACGAGAATGCAGGCAGCGCCGCTTGGTAATCGTGCTTAGGTGAAGCGGTCGATCTCGATTGCCGAGTGGATTGCCGCGTGGGATAGCACTGGAAGTGGAACCGGAGGTACTGGGTCATGTACCCATGGTGGTCTGTACGAGCACAGATCGGCAAAATAGACTTTGGCAGGAAGCGATCAACCAAGCAAGTATTGGCAGTATACCGTCCCGCAGACGAAGTTGTGTGGTAGTTGGGTGGCTGAGGGTTTACAAGCCGAGCTCCATAATGTACTGGGAGTGCGGACCGTCGAGAAGCTCAAACGTTGCCGCTGTCTTGCAGTCAAATCCAGCTATACTGAGTTATTTTGTGGCTTCGACCGTAGCGTAAAAGCCGAACTCCACGGTACCTCGTGTGTTTGTGCATGTGCATGTGCGTAAGTCGTGTTGAGAAAAATCACGGTGTGAGGGTCGTTCGTCTATCTTTGTTCGGTTCCTCTGTAACGAGGGTGAGCTTTTCTCAGGAATCGGCAGTGCATTAAATGTCAATGTGAACATTAGCTTAGCGGGTTGAAGTCGTAACTTGATCGTGAAACAAAATATAAACAGAGTACAGTCTTCGAAAGTGATATTCGATAGCTCTTAACAATACGCTGCGAATTCGCTAATTCGTACTACTACCAGCCAACCGTGTCGCCAACCCAAAGCAGGCACGCATAACAAGGGGATGCGCAGCTAGCCAGCACCAGTAGTAGTAGCAAGACACAATCGAAGGAGACTTCCAGCGGATCAAGGCAAAAAAATGATGCACTACGGAAAAAGAATATGCACCAAAAACCACGGATAGTACAATCGCGCCAGAAGATCAGAAATTAAAGATAAATCGGTCAGTCAAAAATAAAGCAAGTGCCTCATACAATGAGAGATAAACAGATGCGTCGAGTGTTAGAAAAACAAGAATGTAAACGTTACGTGCAAATATACGGGTGCCTGTGATCACTATTTTTCGATGTATCTCTTTGTAATTTTCTCTATTACTTACTTAAACTAAAAACCTTTGCATTTTCTTTCGTCGACAGACAATTTAGCGCGATGAAAACAGTGCGTTGACTCTTCAGGTAGCAGGGTTAGTTGTATCATGACAACGACATTAATGAGTGACAGTGCGAATGTGATCTTAGCGGACAATATTCTTGTCTATTAGTGGTAGGGCTATAATATTCGGTAAATCCTGCTGGATGGTTGATATGGGTCATCATATCAATCAACAAAGCGACGACGAATAAGGAAGGCGCGCGATGGATGGTGGCAGATAGTTACTGATCATGTTTATATAAAAATGGTAAATATAGATATACCAGAGCTTTTGTCAACGTGATAGACTTTGTTAAATAAATTCGCTCATCGTTGATCTTCCCCTGCAGGTTTAAGTATGTGACGTTTCGAGGCATCGTTCTTGTTGGTAGTATAGGCGCGGTATTCCATTTTACCGGGTAGCACTTTGTGGTCCGTAAGACGGACGCATCCTCCATGAAAGTGGTGAATGAATATTTATGTTGCATCGTCCGTAAACTCTTTGCTTCTTCAGAGATGCGAACGTATTGCAGTCGACTGGGTGAGTTCGACCGTCGGTGAACCAGCCGTCATTGCCATGTTGTTCACGCCAGTATGTGACGTGCAACTATTAGCACGATTTTACATCAAGAGGCTGACGAGATTAAAAGAAGGATCTTTATGTAGCGAAGCTATACAGCTCCTTAAGTCAGAGGAAGACTATAACGCCCAGTGAGCAAACGTTGGTTCAACGATCCCGACTCAGAGAGTCAACAAGCTCAGAAAGCTTGCTGTCCCGGTTCATGGGAACCAAACGATTTAAAGAATTACAGGAGCGAGTGCTGA